TATCTCTGCCAAGAAAACCCCAAATGTGGTCAAGGAGAATTGGATATGACAGAACAACACGAAAGAATGTTGGCTCCTTGAAGACAAGAGCCAATTAGTTTTTCTTTTTGAATTCCCTGTGCCTATCACTGAGTCTGACACATAGCCTTGCTGAACAAATGAATAGAATTCCAAACTAGGAGGGACCTTGGAGAGCATGGAAGGCATCTTTTGTGGGTCCCAGACTCCTTTGACAGTCAGGCTGGGGGACCCTATGGACCTCTTCTCAGAATCATGCTTTTAAAAGCATAAAACAGGATGACAAAGAAAGCCAATTCTTTTAAAATACAGCAATCAAAATACATTAAAAAAAAAAACCCCAACAACAAGTCCTCAGACTCCAGGTGAGGAATTCTTGATCTTCTCTGACACCTGCAATTTACATGTCAGGGAGTTTTTCCTGCCTTGCCTCAGGGCAGTGAGGTAACTGCTCCCTAGGGAGCAAAACCCAGGTTTCCTGCCCCTGTACCCAATCTTCTTTCCCCACAACATCATAATAGAAGCTTCAAATCATATGGTCATGTGTCAAATGGTGTGGTTGAATTTCCCCCCCTCTTCTTCCTCCTTTTCTTTTTAAAATTCTTTATTATAAAGAATGGTTCTCTGAGAAGGGAAGGTGCAGGATATAAGAAGAAATCTAGGCAGTGCAAAAATAAAAGATATCAATGAAAATCTATTTGAAAAAAATTTCACCATCTTTAGAATCTCAGAGTTGGGAAGAGACCAGGGAGGATGTCTTCTAGCCTAATTTCCTATTCAGTGCAGAAAATCTCTTCTCTAGCATCCATCCTTGACAGGTGGTCACCCAAACTCTGCCCAACACTGGCATGTTGGTGAGTTTGTTTGTCCTCTGGTCCTTTCCCTTCACCCCCACTCCTTGCCTTGCCCCAGAACTTGATTGACACATGTTGTTGGCTCCCACAAGCCAATAAAAGATCCCCTCTGATAGCCAGAAAATTTTACAAGGGGCGGCAAGGCTTAAAAGTGGTGGGAAGCATCGGAGGCTGCCAGGAGGCTGGGATGAGAAAGCCTCAAGGAATGTGCCCTGGAGAACAGCTGCTTGGAAGCTTCTGGCTGCTGAGTCCCAGGGGCCTACCAAGGGCTAACGGGTGGAGGGAGGTGGGGGTTAGGAGCTGCGAGCGACTCAGATATCACACTCAGAGAGGAGGGGAATTGTGATATGTTTTCTCCTTTCCCAATTGGGCTCCCTTCCAAAAGCAGAAAAATGTCCTCCAGAAGGAAATGGAAAGCCATGAGGCAACTGTGGCCTCCTGGTTTGGCTTGGTCAGCAGCCTCTCTAGGAAAGCAGTGTGATACATTGGAAAGAGCACTGGACTTTTGGGAGTCAGGAGGTCAGAGTTCCCATCCCAACTGTGCCCATGGATTTGCTGTGTGACTGATCAACTCATGTAACCTCTCAGAGCCAAACAGGTCATAGTCACCACTCTAACTATTTTCCAACGTCGTTTCCAGGATCAAATGAGATGTTTGCCTTAGTCACCCTACCTTGACCTCAAAGCCTTGCTCCTTAAGGAAGCCTACCCTGACTCCCCTCTTCCAACTCTGTAAATTCCCTCACTCCATGTTCTTTTTTAGCACCTGGGTATACAATTTGCATGTGCTTTCAAGTGATCTTACCATATTGGTCTCAATATAGACTCCACATCTTTCCCAAATCTGGCTTATATAAATTTGACTGTAGTCTATAATTTGCCATTTTTTGTGTGCAAAACTCTATTTTTTCCTTTCAAAGAGATCTCATTTTAGGGGGTGGCCTATATTTAGCAATAACTTTTTATTTAGACCAGAGGCTCTTAACCTGGGATCTGTGAACCTTTTTTCTTAGTCTGCAAACTTTAAAAAAAATATGTATTTGAATAATTGTACTTCAATATAGTTAGTTTCCTTGGCAATCGTCTGCATTTCATTTAATGCATTTAAAAGTGTTATACTGAGAAGGGGTCCATATGCTTTGTTTGACTGTCAAAGGGGTCCATCACACACACACAGGTTAAGAACTCCTGATTTAGATCAATATAGTACATATTTTAGGTGTGAATCCTAATTTTCCCTTTAAATAGGGGTTCCCTGTCTTAGGGCAGATTTGAGCTTTCTCTGTACATTTCCCATACAGTCTCATATACGTTGTAGACACAGTGGCAGCCCACTTCATAGTGCTGACTGTTTTGACATTCTGGTTCTGCCACTTACTGTGTGACCTCTGTCAAATCATCACCTTTCTGAGTCTCACTTTTCCCATCCATAGAATGCCAGGGCAGCTAGGTGGTACAGCGCATAGAGTGCCGGGCTTGGAATCAGGAAGACTCTTCTTCCTGAGTTCAAATCTGGCCTCAGACACTCCCTAGCTGGGTGATCCTGGGCAAGTCACTTAACCTTGTTTGCCTCAGTTTCTTTATCTGTAAAATGACCTGGAGAAGGAAATGGCAAATCACTCCAGTATCTTTGCCAAGAAAACCTCAAATGGGGTCATGAAGAGTTAGACATAGCTGAAAATGACTGAGCTACTACAGAACTAGGGTCCCTTCTGACTCTGACATTCCATTGTGTGTGCTAAGGCCACCTCCTAGCTCTGATATTCTGTATTCTAATTTTTCTTTCTTTCTTTCTTTCTTTCTTTCTTTCTTTCTTTCTTTCTTTCTTTCTTTCTTTCTTTCTTTCTTTTTTTCTTTCTTTTTTCTTTCTTAAAGAATCACATCTTCTTGGAGTATAAAGAGTACCTGGTCCAGTTTTCTACTAATTGCAAGAAATCACAAAAGATTTCAAAAGATTTCTTGTTCCCCCCGCCACTATCTTTAACCTTCTTGTGCTAGACTCACCCCAGCCTTAGTTCTGACCCCTATTGGGGAGGGCTGGGCATAGAAATGTAGGCTTAGGGTCCCATAATTGATGATCCAGCAACATTGGCCTTCTTTTCCTGGAACAGCATACCTTGTCTCCAGACTCCATAGATTTACATTTGACCATCCCCATGACTGGAATGCTCTGGCTAGTAAGTTCCCTGACTTCCTTCAAGACTCCACTCAAACCCCACCTTCTGCAGGAAGCCTTCCTCAGTCCTGCTGGCTGTGAGTCACTTCCTTCTAAGATTTCCTTCCATCTGCTCTGTATATATCTTGTGTGTAAACAGTTACACACATTGTCTCCCCTATTAGAATGGAATCTTCTTGAGGACAGGGACCACTTTTTTGCCTCTGTTTGTATCCCAAGTGCTTAGCACAATATTTGGCACAGAATGACACTTAGTAAATGATTGTTGATTTCACTCATTAGAGAGGGGCAGTTATGTGGTGCAGTGGATAGAGCACCAGCCTTGGAATCGGGAGGACCTGAGTTCAAATCTGGCCTCAGATACTTGATACTTACTAGCTGTGTGACCCTGGGCAAGTCACTTAACTCCATTGCCTAACCAAAAAAAAACCCAAAACAAACAAACAAAAAAAACTCAAACCAAACTAACTCATTGAAGAATTCTTCCTTGAAGACTTTTGAGGGGCTTGTCCTCTCTTTGGAGTCTCCACTATGCCCACTAAGGAATTCTTTTTTAAAATTTTAATTTTTTCAATTTCAAAATTCAATTCAAATTCAAATTCAAAAATTCAGTTTTTTCAATCTCCCTCCTACCTCTACTCCCTGACTGGAAAAAGAAGAAAACAAAATATTTGTAACAAGGATGCATAGTCAAGTAAAACATCTTCCCTTGTTAGCTATGTCCAAGAAATATATGTCTCAAGTCCATCCCCCTTCTGTCAGAATCCCCCTAGATGGCTCTTCATCTCTGTCTGCCACATACACACGTGAATATCTCCCCATCAGCCCCACACCCTCCCTACCTGTTAACACACACTGCTGGCCTGACTCCCCCTTCCCCATACACACAGGCACATATCTGTAGAGGAGGTGGGGCCTATAGGCTGGAGTTCCCCAAAAGGGCTATTTATCATGACTTTGTCTTAAGGCAGCGCCCCACCCCATCCCCCTTCTTCTGCTTGGCTTTTCTAGCAAGGTCCCGGGAGACAGAAGACTCACACACTTTTCACATGGAGAATCTGCAGGCCTTGCAGAATGTGATATCTTAGCCCAGGAAGATTAAGTGATCGCCTTCCAACCCCTCCTCCCACCACTCCACTCTGGGCCATATGGTGTAGGCCCTGTGCCTCTCCTTCCCTCTTTCATCCACATTCCCTTCCATTCTCTTGAAGGTTCTTAAGGTCCTGTCTTGTCCGACCCCCTCCACCTCATGACCACAAAATCACAGATGGGGGAGCTAGGAGGGACCTCAAAGGTGCTAGGTCAACCCTCTCATTTTACGTATGGGGAAACGGAGGTCTGGGGGAAAGGGATTTAGCCAAGATCACCTTGCTCATAGGTAGAGAAGGTGGGGATCTAAGTTTTCTGATTGGTGCTGATCAATGATTTTTCTCCTATAACATAATGTCTGATCCATATTAGTCTATATTCCCCACCCCCAACTACTGTCTCCTTGGTATGGGGTACAACATCGTGTGCCCTTTCACTCACTCCACACACATATACATAGATGACAGATAATATGGCAGAGTGGATAGAATGGTGGACTTGAAGTCAAGAAGATCTGGGTTCAGATCCTGAGTCTGCTGTTGACTAGTTTTATCCATGGACAAATTCCTTCTCCATTATGAGCCTCAGTTTCCTTATTTGGAAAAAAATGGGCCAGATGGCCTGTGAAGTGCCTTCCAGCTCCAGGGCTGTGAATTGGTGAACTTCTCTGGGCACCAGTGACCCCATGATCCTCTGGTGGGCCAAGGTATCCATTCCCCAGGCTGTCTTCTCCATGCCCACAGCAAGGTTTGCCCACCTGACCCTCGTTGCCTACAGAAGATGGCAGCTGAGGCTGTTGTATTTGTCCCTGGGCACCCCCAGCCCAGCCCAAGCCCTGAGGAAGGCCCCCATCCCTCCCTTACCTGGACCCGGGCCTCGGTCAGCTTGGTCCTTTGGGCCAGCTCCTCCCGGGTGTAGATGTCAGGGTAGTGGGTTCTCTCAAAAGCCTTCTCCAGCTCCTCCAGCTGCTCGGCCGTGAAGGTGGTCCGGCTACGGCGCTGTTTCCGCTTCAGCGGGAGGTCAGGCTCCGACTCCACATCAGAACCTTCGTCCAGCCGGTTCCCTATCAGGTGGGAGAGAGAACAACAATAGGGCTCAGGGCTAAGATGTCAGAGTCAGTGCGGAGGAGGTCAGGGGCACATCTATCACCACCCAGAGGGTGTCCATGCTCCTCAGGAGGCAAGCTGCGCTGCTCTTAGGAGGTTGCACTCCTGGGAAGCGGAGAGAGTTTGTGGAAAATCCACTGGGCTGAGAGTCAGTGGACCTGAGTTCAAGTTTGGACTTGGTGATGGATTACCTGCATGACCTTGGGTAAGCCATTCACCTCTCAGACCCTCAGACACTCACTGAAGGAGGACATTGAGCTACATGATCTCAAACGTCCCTTCTAGCATTAATATTCTGTGCTTTAAGGTTCTTCCCAATCCTGATGCTCTATGTTCTAAGGTCCCTCCAACTCTAACATTCCATGTTCTAAGGCTCCTTCAAGCTCTTGAAACCAGAAGGCCTGGTTTGCATCTTAACTCTGCTACTCATTACCTATGAGACCTTGGGCAAGGCACTTGCCCCGTATGAGCCTCAGTTTTCATATCTGTAAAACGTGGGGGTTGGACACACATTCTTTTCAAGGCCCTTTTCCAGCTCTGACATTTTGTGTTCTAAGATCCCTCTCAGCTCTGATATCCTGTGTTCTAAGGCTCCTCTGAGCTCTGACATTCTGTGTTCTAAGCTGTCTCTAGATCCTGACAGTCAGTGTTCTAAGGCTCCTCCCAGCTCTGACATTCTATGTTCTGAGCTGTCTCTAGACCCTGATATTCTATGTTCTAAGCCTTCCTAGACCCTAACATTCTATTGTCTATGCCCTCTTTGTAGTCCTGACTGGCATAATAAAGAGAACACTGGTCTTGGAGTCAGGAAGACCTGGGTTCAAATTCTCTCTCAGACACTAGCTCTGTGACCCTGGGCTAGTCATTTAATCTCTTTGGGCCCCATTTTCTTCATTTGTAAAATGAAGGGTTTACATTTGGTAGCCTCCGATGTCCCTTTCCAGTTCCAAATCCACAATCCTTTGACATTCCACGTTCTAAGACCTCTTCCAATTCCAGGTTCTAAGTTCCCTTCTAGCTTTAACATTTTGTTCTATCGTTACTTGGTCCCTTCCAGCTCTAAAAAATGCCACAATTCTGGAAAAACTTGTGTGAAGCATAATCCAGAAAACATCAGGCATCACACCTACAGTGAGCACAAGCAACTTTAAAAGGGAACAGAGCAAAGATTCACGGCAATGACCATTGTGGGGCCTGGAAAGTCCAGGATGGCGCCCAGCTCCTTCCACTTGCCGAGGGGTGCAGGGTTCAGGGGAAGATGACGGCTGGAGAACGTTTTATCTTCTATAGAACTTGGTCATGTTTTTAGTTCAGTTTTGCTTAACTGTCTTTGGGGTGGGGGAGGGTGAGATAGTAGGATATGATAGTGGTATAAAAAAAGGACAGAGAGATAAAATTTGCTTTTAAATATGGTGGTTTTTGAGAATGTGTGTTTACCAGCCCCTGGGTCAGAGGATCAAACGTTCTGGGGTCTTGGAGGATGCATGTGCATGTTTGTACAGGAGGGCTTTGGGCACCTCCAGGAATCATGGGAGAGGCTGGAGTGGGGCAGCCTGGGCCAGGGAGGGGCCAGAATCCTTCCTTACTGCATTGACCGTGATGCCTTCCACATGGTTCCTGAGCTTTACTTGCCCGAGATAGGGCCTTTCTTGGCCTGGGCAAAAGAGGCCTGAGAAGGCTGACAGCCAGCTCATTTTTCGCCTGTGGACAGGACTATCAACTCTCAGGTTAAGAATCTCCTCTTCCTTCTCCTCCTCCTCCTCCAGACCTCAGACCCTGGGAGCTCCCAGAGAAGGTCGGGCCAAACTCCTCAGCTGCTTGGAGGGCGTAGGCTGCTCTGGCTCAACCCTTTTCCCCAGCTACTGTTCTGGCCGTCTCCACCGCCATCAGTCTCGCCCAGCTCCCTGGGCACTGACCCGAAGCCAAGCCAAGCACCAGCTGGGTTCTCTCTTAGCCCAGGCCCTGGACCCACCCTTGAGGTGGGACATGCTCAACCCACGCTTCAGGAACCTTTCACCACGGAGAAGGGGAAGGAAAAGAAGGGAAGAATGAAGGTCAAGGCTTTTCTTCCTACCATTTTCTTTCTTTTCTTTTTCTATTTTTTATTTCCCTTCTTTCCCTCATTGTTTCACTTTCCTTCCTTCCTTCCTTCCTTCCTTCCTTCCTTCCTTCCTTCCTTC